AGGCGTCGGCGCAGCGCCTGGAAGGTGCAGAGGTGAGCGCTGGCTAAAAGCCGGCCTCCTCCTGAGGGAGTGCCGCCGTGTTCGCTAAAATTTCTCTTCAGGCCCCTGTGAAGTTAGTTAATAAAAGAAAACCAACCTTTTGGTATTAAGTGATCATATGGTCTGCTGCAAGATACATCCCAGAAAAAATAAAAAAAGAGGAAGCTCATGGAAAATTTCATAGCAACTATGATATCTTACATTAATTCTGTACCTATAATACTTTTTTAATGTTTGTGCTATTCAATGAATTGACATCTGTAAGAATTGTTTTGAGTTGTAAACTTCAAATCTAGAGAAAGGGATGTGAAGGGATTGAAGTAATTTGTGTTTATTTGTCAGTTTTTTTTACAAAAAGTTGTGATTTGGGACTATATGTATGAATAATATGTCTCTTACTGATCTATTTGTAGTTTAAAAGATGAGATAACGTCAGAGAAGCTGATTGGAGTAAAATTGTGGATTACAGCAGGGCCAAGAGAAAAGTTCACAGCTGCTGAGGTGAGTAGTTCTGTGCAGTTTAGTTATGGTTCTAGGTTTGTTGAGTGCAAAAGAGAATCAAATAGTGTAGAAGACTTTGCAATGTTGCTCCTTTACATACTTCTACACAACTCAAGATTATTGAGTACCCTTATAGGATCAAGTTCATTGCAAATAGTCCAAAAACTGTTACCTTTCCTGATCTCAGTGTAACTTCTTGTTGTATTTTTCTTTGTTCCCTTCTTATGTATTTTTGTGTGTTTATGTTACTTTATAGTTTTCTGTTCTGAAGAAATTCCTGGAGGAGGGTGGAGCTCTGCTGGTGATGCTCACGGAAGGCGGTGAATCCAGATATGGCACAAATATTAACTACTTCTTAGAAGACTACGGGGTAGTTGTCAATAATGGTAATGGAACTCACTGTTACGCTTTTATTTTTCTATTTCCAGCAAAATCTAAAGAATAAGATCAGTCTTTGTAGGTATAAGCCACGTGCATACCTCTAAAAAGGTATGTGTTGAATGTTTTCCTTAAAATCTACTTGTATGTGGTTGTGTAGTACTGAAGTGCACCAAGGGCTTTTCATGCCCACAGTAGTTTGGTAATAACCATCTTTCATCCCTGTGCTACTTTGCTATACTTGTTGGTTTTAATATGTTAATATGTTGATAATTACTTAAAAAAAACCCAAAAACTACTACTAATGGTGTTCCTTGGTAAATAGCCTTTTGTTACAGGCTTTTTTTTCCCAATTTTTTATATTTTAATGGATTGAATTATTTTATGCTCACATAAAAAAACAGTGTCACCTTTCTGTAGTTGCTTGCTAAAATACCGTTTATACAAGTGTGTGTTTCCAAAAAGCAGCTAAACTGTGTGTTTCAGTGCATGGATATTTTTAAGCACAGCTGGTCTTCTGGGCTCTGTTTTTTGCATGAGAACACTAACAGTTTTGGGAAATGTATAAACTAGAATTTAAACTTGTAAACCACGATAAATATTTACTCTTCTAATTTGACTATCCATCTCTAAAAATTGCAGATGATGTGGAGATATTTTTATTCTGCATATTTTTATTTGAACTTCCAAAAACATTCCTGTTCTAAATCTGTAAGTCCAGAAGGAAGTGCTTTTGGGAGCCACATGCCAGTTTTGTGTTAGCAGACACCTTAGGTAGCCAAGAGCTGAGTTAATTTATCATATTTATGTCTAGCATATTAACTAATGGTGTGCATTTCCTCATTTTTGTCTTCAAGATGCTGTAGTAAGAAATGTTTATTATAAATACTTCCACCCAAAAGAAGCACTGATTTCCGATGGAGTTTTGAATAGGTAAATATTTTGGGTATATAAATCTTTACAGTGAAGTCTTATACTCGTATGTGTTTTCAGTATCTCTCCCATCTCTTGTAGAGGGATCAGTGAAGCTGCCAGAAAAACGGGGTTTGAGACAACAGATGAAGATGGAGGTGGACATGCTGCACAGTAAGTGTTTTCCTATGCAGCTTTATGTTTGGAAGGATATGTTATAAATCTGAGTTGCCATTTTTTAACCTAGCAGGAGTATCTAGTGCTTACGCTGAGGTGCTGTGATATATTTTTAATGCCATTCAGATTCTTGCTTCTCAAGGTTCTATCTGGAAAGAATAATCTATTCAATAACTCTTGGCAATTAGTCAAGCAGCGGAAGTGGTAGATTTTGAAAGGACTTTGTGAATTTGGTTAAATTAATATGAATACCCGCTAGCGGTTGTCTGCCTGCAGACATGAGGAACTGTAGTTATTTTCAAAGAGTTAAACTGCAGGCTAAGACAAGACATGCATTTATCATAAATTCTATGTATTTGCAGTTGCATCCTCTACTACTCTGAAATTGAGAAGTACACAAATGGAAATGAACAGTGTTCTCTGTTATTTAGATAAGACAAACAAATCATCAACTTAGAAAATCTCTAGAAAGAGCCAGAAAATCTCTAGAAAGAGCCTGAAATGTCTTCATGATTTTCTGACTTCTATAACACATTCCTCTTAGCATTGTACCACCGATGCACAATGAAATTTGCAGTTTAGGCAGATAGAGTCTTGTAATGATGACTGGCCTACTCGTTGTGGCAAGTACTTAGAGAGTTTCTGTATTTCCTGCAGAACTCTTACTTTTGTGTATCCATTTGGTGCCACACTGAATGTAATGAAACCGGCAGTGGCTGTTTTGTCCACAGGATCTGTTTGCTTTCCACTCAACCGACCCGTTCTTGCTTTTTATCAGCATGAGGTACGATACTGCATGAAATAAACCGTGTATTCCCCTCTTGCTTCCATACGATTTGTAAGTATATTATCTGGCAGAGCTTATAAACTGCTTCATTCTTTTATGCGTTTGCAAACTGCACATGAGCCCAGTGACTCTTCTCTGCTTTTAAGGAAAACTGTGTTGTGTGGAGTTGAAAGGAGCATGAATTTGATGGGCAGCAAGGATTATGTATTTCTTTGGAGAAGAGATGATTATTTTTAGTTCTTCATTGCTTTTTCACTCTTCTAGTGTTTAATAAGTGATTTTATTTTTGGCTTCATAAATAGGCCATATGTTCTTAGGAAAGAGGGCTGTATTTTTGAAACCAGTAGATCTTTAAGTATTATCTTACCTGCTGGGACCTGTTCAGTCTATTTTTTTAAAATATCAGCAAATAGTAGTTGATAGGTACAAAGAGATAATATGGCTAATGAGTGTCATATGTTAACATGTTACTTACTGTGTAGCTGCATTTCTCATAGTACTGTGATTTTTGATATCTTAGGTGCTATTTTTTTTCTGAAGATGTCTGATTTAACTCACCCATGTTGTGGCTGAAATAAGCCTCATAAATCAAAGACAACACAGCAGCATAAGGTGAACTTATATAAGTACACTTACTGCTCATGTTTTAGTCTTCAGCAGTCTGGGTGAGATATATTTACATCTCTCTCCCCCCTGCTGTATTTGCACATAGATGCAAACATATGGATCCATGCATAATCTCATGCCTGTGGTTATCTTGAAGTTATTTGCAGTTATGATGAGGATGCTTTTTGGTGACATGATCATCTAAATTATGTAAAACCCAAGTTGTACTGGGACTGTAGCCATGATATTTAACATTGTGTTTCAGTACTGTACCCTTTAAGAATGGCCTCATATGCTCCCCTTATCGAAAGGAATGTTTGAGAATTACAGCAACTAAATTATACCTTAGAGGAAGCCCAGTAAATATTTCTCCACCTCATGGAGTTGTTTGCATAGATTGACTACCAAAATGTAATAGCTTTGTGTAGTGGAAACAACCTCATAGTGGAAACAACACTGGTGTTTCTTCCGTTGATGTGATACAGGGACATGAAGTTAGAGATCTTTGACTGGAAATCATTTTTCCCAAACTAGCAGGAGGAAGTTTTAGAAGGAAAGACAGAAGATGAATAAAAAGGCTTATGCTTATCTTGTGACTTATCTTCCTGATTACATTAATTACATTATACTGTGAACTTAATACTTGATGCAGAAAAACATGACTGGTTTTGTTGTGTTGAAAACTTCCTGTTTCTTATGTATGTCCTTGTGGAAGGGTTAAGAGGTAATCTGTATAGAAAAGAATTACCAAGCAGATATTCAGGTTTTCTTTTTTTAATTGCCAGTAAATTTCTCTAATCTTACGAGATGTAGATCACTATTTTTAGTAAATTTATAAGCCTTGTAGAAGTGAGCAGATATATACTCTGTCAGGAATTCTGTATTCTTGTGAGCTTGCCATCTTTGAAACTACCTTTGGCAGTATATTTTTCAAAGTTATCATTTCTTTAAAATCATTTTGTAATTAAACTGCGTTAATGATTGTCTCTAAAGCTTTGATCTGGAAGGTTTTATTGCTTTATTTTCTTTGTTGATAGGCTCGAGGTGGAAAGATGGCGGTGTTGGGATCTTGCCACATGTTCTCAGATCAGTATTTAGATAAAGAAGAAAACAGTAAAATCATGGTAAGTTTCAAAATAATGTTTTCTTGTGGAACTTTACAGCATTTGCAAAACACAAGTAACAGAAATGTGTTATTAAAATAAAAGATTATGTTATGGGACTCTGAAAAGCTTTTCCTGCTTCTGTCCACCATTTCATTGTTGATATTTAAGCATCTGGTAACTTTTTGGTTTATTACTTTTTTAGAGCTTCTTTAGACCTTGATTATGTTTGATAGTAAACTTTTGCATATATAGCTTCCAGCATTTAGAGCAATGGATTTTCCAAAGTGGAGTATGCAATATTGTCATCGTGTGTGTCAGAGTGTTTTCTACTGAGGTGTTCCTTGAAAGTAATCCTCTAACACAAAGTGTACTCTTTGTTGTGAGTGATTGCTTCCAGTATACAAAGTTTATATTTTCTCCCTATGGATTCTGTGGTTCATTACACGTTTTTCCTTAATTTTTCAGCATGTTCTTAGTTAGATTTATTATGAATGTTTAAGCAGTTATAGCACTGCAAGAGATTAGTTGAGCTTTCCTGAAATTATTTGTTTTTGCCCTTCTCCAGGATATGATTTTCCAGTGGCTCACGACTTCTGATATCCAGTTAAACCAGGTGGATATGGAGGACCCTGGGGTAAGAGAGAGCAATCAGTCAATCACAGTGAAGTAGAGAATAGTTTGATCCAACAGGACCAGTGTTGCCAAATCATGTATTTAGTAGGGGATGCCTAGCAGCGAGATAAATCCTACTGATGCTGCACACCTTTAGTCCATGGCAGGAGCTGGGCAAGACACAGGACCTAGACATTAAAAAGGAAAGAAAGAAAAAGGCATAGAATCTCTGTCAGAGATGGATTGATGTTTATTATAAAACTTGGTCATAAAAGTATGTTCCAAATTTGCCTTTGTTTATCAGGTTGCTTGTTTCAGTTGAGCAGGTTTGCACTTCAGGTCTGAGCCCTCAGGCAGGAGGAGCATGTATGAGTAAAAGGAGATTTTCTGAATTTGAGTAGGAATCAATTTGTTTATTGTTTTCAGCTAACTTATAACTGATATATGTAAATACTGTTTCTTTATTTAGAAATAGCATACATGGCAGAACCGTATAATCCTTAATGCATAAGAAGAAAGCTGCGTTTTTCACAGTTGATTACACTGAGCACTGTTTCATTTTATTAAAATACAGCTAATTGGCTTTACATCTAAGAGAACAGGGACTGTACAGTTAACCTAGTAAACTGCAAAAGGCGGTTGCAAAAAGTAAATTGCAGTTGGTCATTGCTGGTAAAGGGTGAAACAGTTATTAATAGATGAGATTTGAAAAGAGATAAAAATTAGAAAGACACTATGCAAACTGTGTATTTTTCCACTCACAGCAGTCTTTGTGTCCAGATTTCAGACTACACAATGATCCCAGATACAGCAGCGTTGTCTGAGCGATTGAGAGTCTGTCTGCAAGAGGGAGAGGAAATTCCAAGAGACTTCACAAAGTTGTTTGATACGTCTCTTTATCAACTAGATACAACTGCCCTCCCTTCAGTTATCAAGTCAGCAGCTGTGATTCTTTTTTTTCTTTCTGTATTTGGCATTTTCTGTTTGTGTTTCAGTGTGTGGGAGCTTATGAGCAGAAGGGTCTGAGCCGAAAGCAGTGTTACGAATATGGCTACACTAGAGATTTGATTTATACTGTGCCACAGTGATGTTTCTGTTTTCTCCTACCACTTTTTTTTAGTTGTAATTTTTGGCATTCTCTTTGCTTTTTTGGAATGCTGCTGTTTGAATGAACTGGGATTTCTTACGGAACTCTCCATAGGGGTGCTGGGTTTCTAACATTTCTTTCTGAAATGATACTTGAGAGTTACTTGTTTTCCCACTTAAGTGTACCGTTTGGCATTTATTGATGCTGAATTTCATTCATTTTTGCATTTCCCAATAATTCCGTATCTTGAGATCCATTTACTACTGGTTTTTACTACTTGCAACAGTGCTATAAGTAACTGTTGCGACTTTTCCAATTGTAGCTTACCTTTCTGGACTTCTACTTGTGTGTTGTGTTTGTCAGACACTTGAGGCTTGTTTGTGATTTTTATTCTATGCTATTCCTTTGTGAAGAACATTGATCCTGGTACCTTTGGAATATTCGTATCTATAAGCAGCGATTGGAAGTGGGTATTGTATTGTTGGAATTGGATATCGTATTGTTGAAAATGGAAATTGTATCATTTCTTCTGTTCAAACTGTGACTCTTTCTGGGCTGCAGAGCTTATGAGCAGCTGAATGTGAAGCACGAACCTCTCCGGCTCATCCAGCCTCAGTTTGAGACTCCTCTACCTCCCCTTCAGCCAGCTGTGAGTAACCTCCTTGCTGATACAGGATATGTAGAATTCTCCTTTCACCTATAAAGTCTCTGTGCCTCATTTCCATAGTGCTCAGGAGAGAGAGGGAAGGAAAAAAAAGATCCTCTGCTAATATTAATTATTTGAGAGTTGAATACATTGCAAAGACTTGTCTTTTAAAAAGGAATATTTGTCTACAATTGTGATTTTTTTATTAACAGAGCCTCTGGTGTCAAGGCACTATCGCAATCTATAGAGCTCAAAATGACTTGCCTGTATAAATCCCTTCAGATTCTGCCTATGTGTTCCCACTCCTGCAGGGCGTTGAGTTTAGCCTTTACTGTGAAAACAGAACATAGTATTCAGAAAAGCAGTGATGCTGCAGGTTGTTTATTGGCTGTTGCTGGAGGAGCCAGTTTGTCCCACTCTTTTTTATTCTTTTTCATCCATTGGGAAAGTAGGCAGTGGAGCATTGCTCTTCTACGCCAAGGGCTGGTGGAATTTAGTGGGCAGCAGCAACATGAGCTTCAGTGCTGGCAAATTTATTTTAAAAAGCAGGTGTCTTCTAGGTTTTGCTGTCGCTGCTCTGTCCTTTCCTTTTGCCCCTCGGGAAAGATTAGTGTGGTCTTTATGGCTGCAGTGAAGCCACTGAAAGTAGTGTCTCCTGCCCAGCTCTTCAACAACGCCATGTGTTTGCTCTCCTTTCAGAATGGTGATTGCATGAAAAGAAAAATACATGTTTTCCCTGTGACTTTTGCCAGAATTAATACGAATCCTTCCCAGGGTGAATTGGTCAACCTGTTACCTGGACTCTTGATCCAAAATTGAGTGGTTTAAATCTCATGGAACAAAACTAAAACCAAACTACACAAAGGCAAATCTTTTGTTGTGATGCTAGGTGGCAATAAATTAGATTATTCAAAGCTATCTTCCACATAAATCAAATAAGCATCTGATTTTAATGTTTGCTTTCATTATAAGAGTATCTGGAATAAGAGTTGAAGGGGAGAAATTCTGGTATACGTGTGACTAAACTCTTTTGGAGTATTTAGTTATTTTTATGAAATCTAAATAGATTTTTTAAAAAGTGAGGATTTTCTAAAGTCTGATTAAACTCCAAAGCTCTCTTCCTAATTATCTACAAAGTGTAAGAAAATTATTTGGCAGTCAACCATGCTAATTCTTGTCTTCAAGGTTTTTCCACCTGCTTTCAAAGAATTACCTCCTCCCCCACTGGAGCTGTTTGACTTAGATGAAATATTTTCCTCTGAGAAAGCCCGTCTAGCAGAGATTACAAACAAATGTAAGCAGAGCACACTGTTTGTTTACATTTTTATATATAAAATAAAAGTTTTTGGAGGAAAACTGGTGATAAATTCAGTGTATTCAGAATGCTCAGAGTCTTCAGAAGGTAGTACACGTGACTTATTGGTCTTGTAGCTGTTTCTGCCTTTCCCCATGGATTTATTTTCTCCTTTCAAATAGATGCATGACCTTCAAGAAATCCTGTTATGACAGAGAGTTTTGGCTTCCCTTTCTATTGTTTTTGAGTATTATTCTTGAAGTTACCAGTGCAGAAATTAGTATTGATTGTTGCTAAGTTCATGTGTGCTGCTGACCTTGCTGACGAGACTGCAGCTCATTTAATACAAACAGACATTTTGTTTCTACTTTCCATTCCCTATATCATTAATAAATCACTTTCCACACTGTTGCTGAGAAATTTCACACCTTTTTTTGCTTTAAAGTAAAAATGATGAGATTTATTCTGAAGGCGCTTAAATTTAAACAAGATGAGAAAGTGCCAGCTGCACAATTACATCATGGCTAGTCTGCCCACTGTCCTTATAAGACCTTAACTTCTCCAAATGCTAATGACAGATAGCAAAAAGTAGTATATTTTTGCACAGATAGTGCAGCAATGGATAATATCCATCTCTCTCCTTTCTTGGGATGCTTGTTTAGGTACTGACGATGACTTGGAGTTTTATGTCCGAAAGTGTGGCGAAATCTTAGGAGTAACGAGCAAACTCCCAAAGGACAAGCAAGATGCCAAGCATATCCTGGAGCACATCTTTTTCCAAGTGGTTGAGTTTAAGAAACTGAATCAGGTATTTTAATTGCAAGTGAATAATTCGTATTATCAGCATGGATGCTGGTAATCAATATCTTTGTAGGAACTCTGTCATAGGCAAGAATGCAGAGTTTTTTTCTGTACGGTAAATTAGACCAGTGAAGTCTGATCCAGAATATTTATGACTGGTAATCTTTATAGAATATACAGTGCTCAATTTATTCTTTCATTTATTTTAATTGGGAGATTAATACATGCAAGTGCAGTTCAGGTAATTTCAGTTTAATATGGCTCATTGGTTATACACACTTTGTAAGAGCAACAGCCCTCACCGTGTTCCCATTGCTTGCTCATGCCAAATGAGAAATGAGCAGTGTTGTTCACAAGGAAGATTATAAGTAACTCTTCACTGTAAATTGGATTATTTTAAGCCCGTTTGGGATATCTCCTGCCAAGATCAGTTGCTTTCACTCACAAGTTCCACATTTTTTGGATAATCTAGTTCAAAAGAAAATCTTAAATTTTTACCATATCATTAATATTCTCTTGTATGTTTTTTTCTTTTCTCCTCCTCCCTTCTATTCCTTTCACTAAGGAACATGACACCGACACAAGTGAAACTGGATTCCAGAATGGTAACTGAGACCTGGCTTTTTCCAGTCTGAGAGAGAGATTTTAGTAAGAAAATACTTGTAATTTTTTTATCTCCATTATATTATTATTCTTTATATTAATTGGGATCATTCTAGTGGTTCCTTGAATGTATGGACTGTTTATGTGTAGTATTTCAGATAATCCAAGCATTTTGAGGAAGTGCCTTGTATTTTGCAACCATTTTCCAAATAATTCCCTATTTTTTCTACTATTTCATTGTAACTATTTTTTTTTTAACATATGAAAAAAGTCTAAATAAAATTAGGATTTTGATCCTTTTTTTCTGGCTCTAGTATTTATGTCCTGGTAGTAAGGCTTGCAGTGAATGCTTTCAGTGTACACATAATGGCATTGGGAGAAAGATCAGTATTTTGGTGTGTGAACTGTGGAAGAAAATATTGCCATAAATGCAGGACTTGCTGAAGTTGTGCTGATCTGTCACTCTAAGGCAAACTCCTTTTGGCTCTCTGCGTAAGTGGACCAAAAAGAGGTAGGATTCTTACTGTAGAAGGAAAACTCCTCTTCAGAGGAAGGGAAATAAGCCATGGGGACATTCTGGTGCAGAGCACTGCCTTTTATAAGACTGGAAATGCATTATCTTGAAAAGAAGGGACCATGTTGTAGCAAAAGGGACTTCAAAGATTTAATGGATTATTCTTAAGAAGACATGGTACTGTGCAGCAACTTAAGGAGTAGCCCAAGTACAGAATATGTGTAAAATAGTTGAAATCTGCTCCTTAATTGTTGGTCATAGCAACATGCTTGAAGTTTTTTGCTTTCGTCTTTGCTTTAATTGCCCAGTTGTGTATTTTTACAGAGAGCAGGGCAGGGTATGTTCCAGTGAGAGATTTACACAATAAGCTTAATCCTCCCTCTGCAATATCAATACCAATCAGTCAACCAGCACAGACTGCAGTTGAACCAAACATCTGTGTAATCCTCTTGCTCATTACAGACCTGGTTTGTACTGTTCTGTGTTGTTTGTACTCCAAACTGTAAATAAGTTTTCTTCCTAAGCCATTTTTGTGAGTTGTCACCTGTTCCTGATGTTGTAATGTGTTTCAGGAAGAGTCAGCTGAGCAGCCTGAGAATACAAGCAGCTCTGTGTTCAGTATTTGGCATCCATAGCAGCACTCTAACAGCCGAAGTAGAATAGATGTTATTTTGCCCAGAACTTCTAGTGTAAAATAGATATGGAAGCAAAAGTGTTCTCCTTTGGCTGTTCTGGATCAGCACGGGAACACGGTGCACATAAGGTTTACTGTGAGGAGTTATTGAAGGAATTCCAAGGGGTGAAGATTTTTAACAAATGGAGGCAAAGAGGGGACCTGTTAACATGTAGCTCCACTCTAGAACCCAGAGTAAAGGTCCTAGGCCTGCAGCTCCCACCTTGAGGCTGTTAGGCTGATCCACAGCCCCAGTCCCTGCTGGATCCATACTTACAGCAGCACCCCCCCCCCCCCAAAAAAAAAAAAAAACCACACACACACACTTGCTGAACAAACAGCTTGAAACCTATTTACACAACTTCAGCCTGAGGAAGTGCTGACAGTGAGGGCTTGCCAGGCAGTGAGTGTCAGAGACCACACACAAAATGAAGTTGAAACCTTTATTGCAATAATACAAAAGACAGGGGAGGGGAAGAGAATGAGCCTGGGAAACTGCTCAAGGTGCTTGTCACTGAGCAGCACCACTTTGTTGGCACTAGCCCATGGCAGCTTTCTGCAGGTTACTGCTCACAGTCTATGGTTTCTCCAGCCAGTAGTGCCTCAGGCAGTTCTCCCACCTAAGTCATCTCTAATAGGAAGGTTAAAAGTTGCACTAACATAAGTAGCAACAGGTAGTTTCACCTGCAAGGAAGGCCCTGGCTCAGCTCAGGGTAGGAGGCCGCTCAGCTCTGCAATCTGTGCTGCAGCAGGCGCATCCCTTTTGTGTAGCATGCTGTGATGTCCATTGCAGAAGCTACCTGAAGGTGTCTGATGAGGCATGCAGGAGCTGAACACACACAAGTTTAAGGATTCACTTAGGCTTGGAGCTAGAGCAGCAGCAGTATCACATGGCTTGATGCAGAAACACAGATACAGGCTCAGGGTCACTCAGGTGAGTCTCACAGGTGGAAGACCTATGGATCAGAGTATGGCCCCTCTTGAAAGCACCAGGCCAAGCCAGGGGAATTACTACAGAAGAGGTTTCCAGCAATGGGTTATCCAGTTTCGAGTATCCCAGCAACTTTAGCTCTTCTGCACTTAAATCAAGTGACAGATTGGTGTCCAGAGGGGCTTTTATTTCAGAGATCTCTCATGTGGGTGCTGGTGGCTTCCCAAATGTTGAGATGTCCATTACAAGCTCAGTGCTCTTGGAGAGCAGATTCTCCAGTGGTTTGAGGTGCTTTTCTGTCCTGCATGGCGTTGATGTGTTCTGCGAGACCACATCCAGCATGGAGTGGCAGCCCAGGCCCCTGCCGAGGGGCTCAGGAGGTGGACCAGAGAGATCAAAGAGGATTTGGTCACGAGGGGTCTTGCAGAAAGAGGCAAGGCTGCCATCAGAGACCCCCTGGCTCAGGCTCTGCAGGTCAGTCTTCACACAGCTACTCAGAGACTCTGGCTGCTTGACACCATACAGAGAGCTGCTTTTTGCTGTGTTGTCCAAGTCCACAAAGAGCTCCCAAGTATCAGGTTTTGAGGCACTGCTTGAGTCCGTGTAGTAATTGCAGACAGGGGAATTGCTATGGCTGGAGGCCCCCCTCACAAAGCCATTTTCCAGGACTTCCTTCAGGGTCAGGATACTGGTACTGTTCTTGGTGGGCAACATGATGCAGTATCTCAGCCCTGGTAGAATAAATGCAGTAATAAATAAAAATCCTTTAGGAAGGTGAGGAGACATGCAGTATTCAAGGAAAGTTAAGCATCCAGGTTGTAATTTTTGTCTGGTGTAACAGAGCTGCCTGTTCATAAGCAGTCAGACCACAGCCTATTCACTGCTCAGGGGAGATCATTATTGTCAGGGGTCTAAGAAGGGCTCCCCCAACCACTGCAGCACCCTTGCCACGTTGAGGGTAGAAAGGAGCATCCCCACAGTTGTTTCCTTCAGCTTTTGACCAGAGATTTAGGGAAGGCCTTGGATGTGCTGCTAGGCAGGGCTGCCCTCAACTGGAGGCCAGAAGGAGCAGTCCTCCCTTGGGTTAGATCAGCTCCCACAGCTGAGTTCAGCAACCGAAGGGCATCACCCAGTGTCCCTACATACCACTGCTCTTAGCTTTGTTCTCTTAGATGTAAAGAGTCTCAATAAACCCCTTCACCTGTGAGCAGAGAGCAGGTGAGGGAGGAGGAGAAGCCTTTTCCTGCCAGGTACTCTGTCCTCATTCCTCAAACCAGGACAGCATTAACCTCAGAGTGGAGCTGCCCTGGTCCTGGGCTCTGGTTATGATGACTGAAAACTTAGGAGTAAGAAACAGCTCCACTGGTATGTTCAACTCTGCACATGGTAAAGTCCCTGACTGGTGATTTGTGGGACCCTGTGGTCTACGCATGTGGTCCCCAGAGAAGTCCTAGTGGACACATCCCCCTAGCTGCTCCAGGCTTGCTCAGACACTGTGCACAAGTACAATTTGCTCAGCCAGGAACAGTTTCCTTCACGTTCCCCTTCCTCTTGCCAGGAAAGTTCTCTCCCTATGGTCAATCATCAAGTGCTTGTTAACCACAGAGAAGGAATATGTGAGGACAAGGTAGGGAAGACAGCCAGGAGCAGCATAGGTCAGCACAGAGAAAGAACATTCTTTAAGACACTGAAATAACTCTTCCTCAAAGACACTTTAAATACCTTAGTATATGACAAGAAAGTACCTACTCCTAAAAAGGATAGAACAAACAAACCTCATTATTTACCTTCAAGTTCCACAGAAACCTCCCTTGAGAATCCTAATCCTTTTCTAGGGGGTGATGCTGGTAGTATTTTTATAGCATTGGTAATTAATTAACAAGCTAATTTCCTAATTAAGCTAGTTTGGGAGAGGGAGGGTTTTTAGCTTAATATGGTAGGGACTGGGGGATGTGACCAGTCACACTGAGAGTAAATCCTGGGGCCTATAAGGACTTGTTGGTGATGTGTAACTTGGAAGCACCTCAACTAGGGTGTTTGCAATTAAGTCTGAGCAGATTTGGGACTCATATTTTGGACTGCTTGAGAAGGACCCATGCAGTATTCCTGCTTTGTGGGCCCTCAGTGGAAAGATACCAAGTTTAGTCTAAACACTGACCAGGAAGCATTTGTCTGCACAGACCAGACACTGGGAATTGCAATTAAAACGGTGGCACTAGCAGCTGCACATCGATACGTGTACGTAATGTGCAGTGCAAAACCAGCAGAACCCGAAGTACGTGCGTGCGAATTCCTGGTGTGTTTGAGAGCGGCTACAGCTCATGTAACTTTTTACACTTTTTCAGTCCCGCTTTTTTTTTTTTTCCGTGTGTGGTATAACAGTGCCGCCCCCTGGCAAGAAGGGATAAGGAAGGTTTTCCGAGGTTTTTCCAGGAAAGCCCCAGCTCTGCAATCCCACAGACCTGTGCCTTCTGCTTGGGACCCTGGAGTGATGGGGCTGGAAAAACAGGATGGGGAAGGTGTTTATTGTGCCTATTTACCCTGCTGTGTTTGTTTCCAACGGGAGGCAGACGCAGGAAGGGGGAGGGAGCTGCCTCCTCTGAATTAAGCAAGAGCTGTGGCCTGAGGGGTTCGGACCCCCTTTTATGCCCCCCGGGCAAATCTATGCCCATATGTTCAAAAAGCAGCAAGTTTCCAAGCGCGCACGTGGCCCACGGTGGGGTCCCCCCGCGGGCAGCCGCTCTGTGGGGAAGGGCGCAGGCAGAGCGGGATCACAGCCCGAGATCCAGGCTCTGCGGGCCGGCAGAGAGGGCAGATTCGCCCCCACGCCGGGTTTGACACAGGCTTCCCCTGGCTCAAACCTCCTCGGGGTGCTCTGAGGCGCCGAGGGGGCTCCCCGGTGCCGCGTCCGCCTCGGGGCCACCG